TAGATATATTCAAGCCCCACCTGGACAAGGTCCTGTGCAGCCTGCTGTAGGTGACCCTGCTTCGGCAGGGGGGTTGGACTAGATGACCCACAGAGGTCACTTCCAACCCCGACCACTCTGTGATTCTTAGGAGCCTGGTAAAGACCTCTGAGCAAGGATGACAAGACCAGGCTGGAAACAAGAGCTGGAGCTTAGGGAGGGTCAAGGAGAAAGCTGGAGCCCACAGCCAGCCCACCACTGTCTCTGTTCCTACAGCACAGTGGTGGATCTTCCCCACCCTTGTGCTGTGGCTGAGGACATTGGGCACTGCCCTGCTCCACTCCTAGGGATGCTGGCTCCAACTGAGCCATCGCTGGTGCCCAACACCCACCACACTGTGAGCCAGCCTTGGTGGGCACCAAGCAGCCATCACCTCAAGAGCATCACTAACCTGGTGGACTCCCCTTAGAGGGGCCTGGACAGGTGACCAAAGGCTCATTTAAGGAGAAACAAGCTTGTTTCTGATTTGTACAAAACTGCTTTAATGACAAAACAGCTGAAAAATACTTTTTGGTGCATTTCTAGTACCATCACGAAGCTCTCTGTGATCCCCAGACCTGAGTCCCTTCCAGGCCCAGGATCACCCACTGCCTGGAAGGGCGAGAGGCTCTTCCAGGCACCTTCTTCCAGTGCATGATGTCCCAAGGGAGGGGTCTGTCCTTGAGACCGCACAGAAACCCCCTTCAAGACCCTCCACTAAGGACAATTTTCCTTCTAACCGCACAGGCATGGGCTGGAAATACCTCTGTGAAGTGCTCTGGCATTGAGGCTCCTTCTTGGTTCAGGAGTGCTTCCATTGCCACCACCCTTCCCATCACTGAAGCCCCGTTGGCACCCCACTAGGGGAGCGAGGCAGCAGCAGGACCTTCAGCAAACGATGCTTCCAGACCGGAGCCAGCCCGGCCAAGTCCCTGAGACACCGAATAACGCCTTGATGGGCGCTGGACCCAATGATAGGGTTGGAGAACGCAGAATCCAAACCTCAGCAACCACTGGGCGATGGGGCGAAGAAATACACAGCCAGGAGGATGAAGTAAACCATCACCAGCACCGTGCCTAGGGCAGACAGAGCAGATTGGAGGCAGTTACTCCCTGGAGCAAGGAGGGAGACCTTTTAAGACCTTCTGGTGTGGTCTGGACTGGCCCACTGTAGAGGACTTCCATGGTCCTCTGCAAAATCTCAATTAAAAGGGGTTTAAAATTGCCTCTTAAGGGTGAAGGAGCGTTCCCCCGTGGAGCTGCGGCAGGGTGGCAGCTCCAGCACCCCCAAGGCGCTCAACCAAGACCCCAGAATTGCTCAAGCCACCACATGCCAAGAACTGCAGCAAGCAGATGACCCCAGGGCTGTCTCCAGGCGCCCCCCACCCCATCAGCGCAGGGAAGCTGGGTACACCAAGTCCCACAGCAGCCTTGAGGGCGAGCGGTCACCTTGGAAGTAGTCACATTTGCCATCCATGAAGATGTAGTTCATGAGCACCACGCTGAACATGCTGGCGTAGACGTGGAGGTCGCTGAAGACAAGCGTGAAGTTGGTCGGCTGTGAGGCAGAGACGATTTTGGATTTATGGCCCACCAAGGACAGCCCCTCACCAACTGCGGTTGGGGACTTGCACGTCAGCCCTTGAACCCCCTCTGCTACATGTCCCTAGGGCTGGGGACAGCATCAGCCAAGGTAGAAGACATCTGACCCCACCTTCCCCTGCACTGAGCAGAGGAGACACTGGGGACAGTGGCTGTGCCCTTGCCACCTCTCATGGAGTGCCACATGTCCCCAGCCCTGCTGGGGCTGTCCTGGGGCTACTCACGTAGAAGATGGTGAAGAGCACCAGGATGGGGATCTGGAGCATGCAGACCTGGACGGCAATGCAGTTCCCAATCTCAATGCTGGGGAGGACAGAGAGGTTAAGAGCCACCAAGAGCCAGGTCTCCAGCAGCCCTTGGGTCACTCAACTTGGGGTGAGAACAAACCCATTTCAGGGAACCAAATCATGGAGCCCAATCTCATTCTGGCCCCATTTTTTGGGTGGCTTTAAGTCCTCTAGAGGGCAAATCCCCACAGATCTGACCCACCAATGCAATTAAGCTGGGCAAGCCCATCACCATCGCTAAGGCACAGCTACGGGGCACGGGGACCACGCAGGAGGACGACACCCCAAAGCCCATCCTTCGAGCCATCTCACCTCAAGCTCAGGTTGTTCTGCAGGGCGAACTGGATGCCGTTAACGATCTCCGGCAGCTCAGGCACCATCGCCAGCACAGTGACACCAATGAAGTACTGCAGGGAAGAGGTGACATCAGCATATGCGTGTGGCCTGATCCTGACCACATCCAAGCTGTGGACAACCAGGCTCCTCGGTGCATGGAGCATCTCAGCACCTTGTCCCCCAGCTTTTGGGGCTCAACCCCACAGCCAGGGCAGGTTCTCATCCCTGGAGGGCACATCTTGGTCCCCAGGGCCACCCCAAGCAGGCTCACCGCCATCCCCACACTCACCTGCGAGATGGTGGAGTTGGTGAGGATGGGGCTGATGTGCTCCGTGGCCAGGTCAGCACAGGCTGACATGCAAAGGGTGGAGAGCAGGAGGATGACCAGTGCCCGCCAGCGAGACCAGTGGACCACAGCGCTGTGGTGGTGGCCAGGCACTGGGGGAAGAGCAGAGAGACGGTGGGACACCCCAGGGCAGTGAGAAGAGCCAGCCCTGCAGCCAGGGCATCCCGCGGTTTGGGGACACTCACTGTGACAGTCGCTGATGTGGATGTCGTAAATGTGCGAGTGAGTTTTCAGGGTGAAGAAGAGGCCGATGAGGTAGGCAGCAGGGAGCAGCAGGGACACGGTGTACACCAGGGGTCTGTGGGACATGGGTGACATGTTCAGTGTCACCATCCCTTGGCAAGGTTCCCTTGCACCATCTGGGGATGGAAGAGATGGGGGTGCAGGATCGGAGCCCTTCAGGGTGGCAAAGAGGGGACCTGGGAGGGATGTGGGGCCACAACCCAGCCTGGGAGGTGCCACCCCACTGTGGGGACAACCCTGTCCCCACCCCAGCAGACACTCACTGGACGTGACTATAGTAGAGGGTGCCGTTGTCCTCCATCTGTGGAGAGAGAGCCTGTCAAAGGGGATGCAGGGGACAAGGGACAGCCCCGCTGCCACCGCCAAGAGCAGGAGCCAGGTGGGCTCAGAGCATCCCCGACCCCAAACCTCGGCGGGTGGGGGTCCTTGTCCCCCCCTCACCAGGTCAAAGTGACAGTTGTGGCAGAGGTAGTGGCCCAGCGGGTTCTGGGTGACGTTGTGGCACTCGCCGCACACCAGCTTCCCGTACACCTTGGAGAACAGCGTCGGGGCAAAGACACCTGTGGGGAGGGAGGGACACAGGGTGGGCGCCCACGCTGGTGGGACCCCCCCCATCCAAACCTGGGGACACCTCACCCCCCCAGAAAATGTCCCCATCAGCATCCTCCTGGCTTTCTGCAGAGACCGGGCACTCTCGTGCCGTGAGCGTGCCACCCCATCTCACCGGGACGAAGAGGACGCAGCCCACAAGCGTCCCCGTCAACGCTGACTTGACGACCTCGGCGTAGCAGCGGTTGCCCTCGCGCGAGCCCTTGATGAGGGCCGTGATGTAGAAGGTGAGCTCCGTGATGGAGCCGAACGTGGCGTTCACCACCGCTCCCACCGCAAAGTTGCTCTGGGCCGAGATGCTGGAGGAGGAGGAGGAGAGCGTCAGCGGGGCTGGCACGGTGGCAAGGGAGGTTCTCCTTCCCCTCTGCTCTGCCCTGGTGAGGGCCCCATCTGCAGTGCTGTGTCCAGTTCTGGGCTCCCCAGTTCCAGAAAGATGAGGAGCTACTGGAGAGAGTCCAGCGGAGGGCTACGAG